CTCCCCAGCCTTGACAAAATGGTGAACCTCTGGTTCAGGAACTGATCCTATCTCAAAACAACAGTAAGAATGATAGAAGAAAACTGGAAAAGTCCATACTTCTCTGGTTTCCAAACCTGCGTGTGTGTGTGTGTGTGTGTGTGTGTGTGTGTGTGTGTGTGTGTGTGTATCTGTACACTTAGGCAAAGTGACACACATACAAACACAAATAATTTGTATTTCCCTTTTCTTGTGCTTTAAAACAGAGTAGAAAAAAAAAGCAGCTGAACTTAAATATTTATTTGGCTTTCATAACCCTGGATTGTTATTTCTAATATTACTTCCATTTTTAAAAATAAGAACACTAAATCAAAGAGAAGTAGTGCCGTGGCCCACATAAGATGGATAGGTAGCTTGTGCCCCACATGCTCCAGAAGCTGAATTTTTATCCTTTCCAGGACAGGAATTGTGAGCATTCATCCAGACTGCTGATGCTATCCCCTTCATGCAGGGCCTTTGCCATCCCATGTTCTTTGCTATCTCTTGCTCTTCTAGCTTCATATCATATGGCATGGTCTCTTTATTTCTTATTTGAGTTATCTGCCTTGATAAAGTATGTTCTCATCAACACGAAAGGGACATCTCTTATTGGAATTTTAATTAGGTTCTATTTTCTGAGTTCACTTTTAAAAATTATCTTTGTCTTAACTCCTTTGTTAATATTACCTCTTTTTGTTCTTTTTATCAATACAATTTGTGTCAATCATGTCAAATTATCCCTTCTAATTTTTTTTTTTTTGCAAAAATCTTAGAAAACAGATCTGATGGGGAAAGTTCTTCTGTATATATGTCTGTCTTATAGGTTAATGAATAAAACACTGTTGGCCAATAGGGAAGCAAGATAGGCAGGACTAGGAGAGAAGGAGGATTCTGGGAAATGTAGTAAAGAGGGGTCACCATGTAATCCCGAGAAGAGAGGATACATGCTGGTGTCCTCAATAAGATAAGTCTTTATAAAATATATAGATTAATGGTTATGGTTGATACTTAAGACAGAGCTAGCAAATAAGAAATCCTAGTTATTGGCCAGCAGCATTGTAACTAATATTTATCTCTGTGTGTTACTTGGGTTCCCTAATGTGGAGGCAGAACTCAGGCAGCTGTGGGAAAGAGTTATTGTTACACAGATAATCACAGTATTTCATCACAGTATTTCACTATAGCAACACTCATCTTGAAGATGGCTTATTATGTTTTTCTAGAAAAAAACTTGTGCAGCTATGCCCTTAGGTATCTTATAACCTCAACAAGAGGTACACCTTTCCTAAATTAAACAAACTAAACACAGCATTTGGGATTTACCTCTGCTAGGTAGACCATGTCTCCAAAGGGAAGTCTTCCTTGCCAGTTGAAGAAACTGGGATTTGTTTGTTTGTTTTGTTTTTGTTTGTTTGCCTGTTTGTTTTCTAAAGAGAAAGAAAGGACATGGATTTGGACAAGCGGGGAAGGGGCTGGGAGATGGGAAACAGTGACCATAAAATATTGTATGAAAAAAGTATATATGTGTATGTATGTATGTATGTATGTATGTATGTATGTATGTATGTATGTGTGAATATATTATGTGTCCCTACACAAAAGGGAAAAAAAGGAATGAAGTCATGAGTTATTATGCTAAAATATCTCTTCATTTCCAATAGCCTTGTTCTTCATTGTTAGTCAAGACCGTAAACTAGAGATACACTTCTATCCTTCCTTTATACCTGGAAGGGCTGAATAATTAGTAGACTGAATCAAGAACTACTTGGATATTTTTCTTAGTTGTCTAGAGCTTGTCAGTTTGTCCTGATTCATATAACTTTGAATGGAAAAAGTACAGATCTTGGCCATTTTTACATGGAAGGTCCTGAATTCAACCTCCACAATTTTCTGGTGTGTTTGTTAGCACTTTTATGCACTCGTGGGATGTTTTGAATACATTTTTAATGTAATGAAACAAGCACTTGCCTTAGTGTGGAGAGAACTTACATTCCTTACCCCATTGACTTTGAGCCTAGAGAGCTGGTGAGAAGATACTGTGAGGCTCTAGGAAGCAGCCCTAGGCTGTGTAGCTGCATTCAGCCAGAACTAGGATCAATGGTTACCTGCATGTCCTTCACTTCCTCATTGCCTAAAGTTGTCCCTGTCTCCATATGGCTGCCCCAGCATATGATTTGTGTGATAGTCTTTGGTAGCATCAAAAAAAGTCTCTTCATACTTCTTTCTTCTTGTTGCTGGGATAATCATAAAAATATTTTCATATGCATGCTACAGGTTCTAAGATTCATCAACTTTTTGACTTTTTAGGGGATGTGTGGGTATTTGTTTCCAATGTATTGATATGGAGGTATAAGGATAGTATAAAAACAATTTTATTTATCAAATTAAAATTATATAAATATAATACACCTCATGTATGTGGTGCTTGTGGCGGCTAGAAAAGGTTATTGGATCACCTGGAACTAGAATTATAGGCAGTTATCTTTACACTGCCTGTCAAGGATGCTAGGAACAAAATTCCAATCTTCTGGGACAGCAGCAAACACTCTTAACTACAAGGCCATCTCTCTAGTCCCTCCTGTATATGTTTTGATTTTGTTTAAATTCAGCAAGTGACTGTTTTGATCAGTTGAAAGACAGTCAGAGAAAATGTCCTGTGATTTCCTTCACAGTAGAATGGAAAATAGTGTCTTATGGATTTTGCTAGACTTTTCTGTCTAAAAATTACTTATAACTAAGAGATTAATCAAAACATTTCTGGAGGCTGATGAACCAAAGTAATTGATTTAGTGATGTGGAGAG